GTTGCGTCCGCAAAGCGTTCGTAGGCGAACGGGAAAGGAAGCAAATACATCGACTGAAGAAAAAGAAGAAAATGGCTTTCGCTTTCGAGTCATTTAAGGCAAGTACATCAAGGAACCTGCGAGTGTTTTTAGTACAGTGATCGCACCACGCCCCGTCAGGAGTCAACCCTTGAAAGTGATTTACACTATTTCATTGTAAATACATCTGACCACGACTTTCGCACTAAAGCTTCGTATTTATTTACGTTTGTGCGAATACCCGCCACGGTGGTGTCGCGGCTAAGGCACTCAGCTGCTGACCCACAGGTCGCGGGATCGAATCCCGCCTGCGGCAGCCGCATTTTCGATGTAGTCGAAAGCGCTTGGGAACCGTGTGCTTATATTTGGGTGTAAATTAAAGAACACGTGGTGGTCGAAATTTCCGGAGCCCCCCCACTACAGGGTTTCTTGTAATCATACTTTCGTTTTGGGACATTAAACCCCTTTATTATTATTATTATTATTATTATTATTATTATTATTATTATTATTATTATTATTATTATATTATTATTATTACATGATTTACACCAATTCTGCTCATACTTTCAGACGACACAGAACTAGTCAGCAAACGTCGTTTTATTAACGTAGGCATTGAAATAGGTGTACTAAAAAAACTCCCCAATGCTATTTGCCGCGTGCTTACACGAGGTTTTCAGAGGCCTAGAATGGGAACAATTGAGGATAAGAGTTAATGGAGAGTACCTTAGTAACCTGCGCTTCGCCGATGACATTGCATTGCTGAGTAACTCAGGGGACGAATTGCAACTCATGATTACGAAGTTAGACAAGGAGAGCAGAAAGGTGGGTCCTAAAATTAATCTGCAGAAAACGAAAGTAATGTACAACAACCTCGGAAGAGAGCAGCGCTTCGAGATAGGTAATAGTGCACTTGAAGTTGTAAAAGACTATGTCTACTTAGGGCAGGTAATAACCGCGGAACCAAACCACGAGATTGAAGTAACTAGAAGAATAAGAATGGGGTGGAGCACATTTGGCAAGCACTCTCATATCATGACAGGTAGATTGCCACTATCCTTCAAGAGGAAGGTATATGACAGCTGCATCTTGCCGGCACTTAGCTACGGAGCAGAAACCTGTAGACTTACAAAGAGGGTTCAGCTTAAATTGAGGACGACGCAGTGAGCAATGGAAAGAAAAATGGTAGGTGTAACCTTAAGAGACAAGAAGAGAGCAGAGTTGATTGGGGAACAAACGGGAAAATCAAGAAGAGGAAATGGACAAGGGCCGGGCATGTAGCACGTAGACAGGATAACCGCTGGTCATTAAGGGTTACTAACTGGATTCCCAGAGAAGGGAAGCGGGTTAGGGGGGGGGGGGGGGGGGGGACAGATGGTTAGGTGGGCAGATGAGATTAAGAAGTTTGCGGGTATAAATTGGCAGCACCAAGCACAGGACCGAGTTGACTGGCGGAATATGGGAGAGGTCTTTGTCCTGCAGTGGACGTAGTCAGGATTATGATTATGACGATGATGATGATTAAAAATCTCCGTACAACCTACCAACACGTCATATCACCGTAGATGGACTTCATTTCTGACTCACGCCCTCACCCTTCATGAATTCTCGTTTAAATTTCAAGTACTTACGATGAGCTTACACAGCGTGCAGCTGCTGAAAACATGGATTTAATGTAAGGTTGTTGCCTGTAATGACTATTCAGTTTATTCGATTGGAATCAGACGTCACTTTTCATGCTCTTAAAACTCCTAACAAAGGAAGTGTTCGGAAAGAGCAGGCTGCAGATATGCGCGCCGTAGTGGAGGGTTCTGGAAATTTCGACCATCTGGGATTTTTTAACGTGAACCCGAATGTAAGTGCACGGGCAGTCGCGAGAAACTGCCCCAATCGTTACTTCCTTGCGTGAGCAAGGAAGTAGCGTTTGCGTCTTTCGCAAACGAGGCCGCTGCAGCGAGCAAAGCAACCTCCGTACTCTCTGTAATTCCAACGGCGGTGAAAGCGCGAGACGTATTAACCACCCCTATCCCAAGATAAGCACGCGCTCTCTAGCAAACACGCCCTATTAAGGCGCGCACGCATTCCAACGTGCGGGTAGACTACCTCTAAAGCGCGCGTCTCTCATAATCATATGGTGGTTTCGGGACGTTAAACCCCACATATCAATACCTCTAAAGCGCGCCGAGCGCCCCTATTGCGCCATCTCACGACGACAAGAACACGCTGAAGTTACCTGGCACCACCAACAGTAATTGGCGTACATAAATAGCACGCCGTAGCATGCTGAAGAACGTTGTATCTGTGGCCTAGTCGTTTTGCGCAGCACACTGCGCAGCGAGCGACCGTCGGTTGCTCCATGCGATGGAATTTGTTTTTAAGTTATTTGCAGTGTTTTTGCCGTGTTTTGGCACCCCGGTTTAAAGGACTTTCACGTAAAAAAAGCAGTGACAACACAAAGCAGTACTTACCAAAAAAACGAAAAAAAAAAGAATATTACGCCTGATCTACTTAACTACTAACAAAGTACGCCAGAAGGGCTAACGTAAACCACCAAGTGCATTGAAGCGTTACGACACGTTTACTCACCGCCACCCACAAAATGCAAGCCTTAATGAAAGAAGAATAATTAAACAGAGAAAGAAATAATAACAGAGTGCTATACGACGTCGTAGAGTTTACTCGGGAATAAGCGGTCTAACCGGACTTAACACCCAGACTTCCTGACTAACGGCCTTTCACACCGCATTACGCACTCGACAGATAACAGAGGCTTTAAAGAAGAAGAAACAAAATCCAGAACATCGGAAACGCGGCCCACGGCAATATCTGAACGATATCTCGCGCAAAAAACAAAAAAAAACGCTGCGGCACTTCTTACAAGCCCCACGCAAGGGCTTCGGAACAAGCTCTCGCCACGATATGCGCACCCTCAGCGGGATACTTGAATGCTAGAACCCAGCATGCCACGAAAATGGGCGTCCAGACCGGAAGAGGGCCGCTTTGATCTACACTTCAAAATTCTCGCTTCAAGAAGCGTGCCAGTCAAGACGCGTGGAGCACGATAACGTTTTGAAGAACTTTTAACGTCTTCACTGCGGCAAGGGAAATAGGCTGCCTGATCGATAGAGCTTGAAAGCGTCCGCATGCCAGCCAGTCCCCACCCCCTCGCGATGTGACACTTCACAAGGACTAGATACGAAGTCGCGATAATTCATAAGAACAACAAAAAGAGAAGAAAAAAAGCTCAGTGTAATAAATGCGGCCAACGTCAGTAATCTGACTAGTTTTTCCAGCAAACGCTCTTCCACGCTAACTGGACTCGATATATTAAATGTAGTACCTTAACTCCCGCCACAACCACCAGCATCACAAAGACATGACGATAAGAAAATTTGTGGGACATTCATGCTGATAAGAGCAACGTTTCAACAAAACAGCGCCTCCTCTAAGGAAACTAGCCTTTGTCGGGGCAGCAAAGCGATATATAGTAACTGTAGAGACCGTGTTGTAGGAAAATGCATTAATTTGTTCCTTGTGCTCCTATCAGACCCTTTGATATATGAGTAAAAACGAAACTAAAGTGGCCTTGCAACATTTCGTAATCATTATCAGAAATCGCGGCCGTCCGCAGTCAAGGCTACTGAGTAGACGCGAGCCAAACACTCTAGCGCAGCCCGTGGTCTAGTATTAACAGTCAATCTTCAAAGTTAGGTCAATATCCCTGCATGCTTCTTCTCTCTACAAATGATGATACATTCTAACTCAAACGTAATCATGCCGGTTTTAACGATGTATCGGTTATAACAATGACAGCCTGCCGCACAATCATTTTAAAATTTCATGTTCTCCAAGGAATAGCTCGAGGTCTTGACGCGCGCCGACGAAGAGACGCATCGTCTCGTCTCCTCCTCATATCCTCTCTGCGTGGCGTCCAGCGCGCTCGCTGATACGAAAGGAGAAAGCGCTTGAAGCGTGCGGAAAATCCCTGTATCGCCGCTCATCCATAAAAATTCTCAAAATTTTTGCGGCACATGACTCGTGAAGACTATAACAATGCAACTTAAAAAACAGTGTTGCGGAGACCCCTTAAGGCGGACTGTTACACTGTTGTTGTTTTTTCTTTTTTTTTTGCCGTCCATATGAATGCCACTTCGCATTCGTACCCATAAATGCCTATTTTAAATATCGGCGCCTAGTGAACACCATTTGGCCACAAAATTCGCTTTCCGATACCGGGTGGGAGCGTTATCTATGTTGCAGGCCGACACCAACTGTTCTGAACTTTGTGGTGCTCAATCTAGTCCTCTAGTGCAACCAGCTATCCGGCAAGAAAATCGCAAAGTGGGACGCGTTGGTTTTTGTATAGGTCGCCATGCTGACATGGCACTCACAGTTGCAAATTTGGCAACGCATACAGTCAAAAGCGCGGCGGCAGACACACAAGAGGCATTAATTGAGAGTACATCCTCTACGAAGTAGAATTAAAATAAACGCTAATGCAAACATTTAATAAACGTTCTTGCGTGATCTTTTTTTTTTATAAATAGAGCAGAAACCTTCCTTTACTGCAGCGGAAAAATGAAACGTGGCAAATACGCAAACGTAAAGCCATTCAATTGCAGGCGGAATATTCAGCTTAAAAATCTATCTAACTCAACTACTTGGTGCAGGTCGATTGAAATATATAGAACAGTGAAACAGCATAAAAAAAACAACATTCACAAGACAATTGTTATCTGTGCCACCAACACACAAGTCCCACATTGCTCAACATCCAGTCACGATTTCCTTTTATGCTGAAACGGTCTCAGATTGGGTCATAGAGAACTTCAATTCACGAGCTTTCGACAATTGACACTTTCTTGCTGCGTATCAACAGGCGACTTCCGAGCAAACAGGACACCCCGATCTCAAGCAGCAAAACACACATCACGACCTTCCCTTCAAGACTTGCGCGTGAAACATGGAACAGCACTCACCTCATCAAACTTGTCGTTCCAGTCAGATTTTGTGATCACGAACTTCACAGTTTCATCCAAGTCCTCTTTAAGATCTCTGGGCAGCAAAAAAAAAAAAAAAACGACGGAAGCGAGAACTCTTTCAGAAGGTGGTTATCTCCGCAGGAAATTACGCATTATACCTCCGTCAATAAAATTGACAAGAGTGAACTCTAGCGCTGCGACCAATCAACCACAATGGGAACGATCAGCAGTACAGGTGTTTGTCAACTCTTCGTGCGAGGGGCTTCTATCGCCCTTACGGCTTTGTTTATTCTTACTTTGTCATTTGTTACGGATGAAGGAATGAATCGTTGTGAACTTCGTGTGCAGACTTGAATTGGCGAGCCTTCAAAGGTCTATGCGAGAAAAATTGTGCTAAAAAAAAGAAGACACCACACAGAAGGAACACTCAAGCAGATCGAGCGCAACCTTTCCTGCATAAAATGAACGAACTATAGCCCCTCAAGACGCCCTGATCTTCCGGAGTCCGTGTGGTGAAGAGCAGCTGAACATTTGCTGAACTTCGTCTTGCGACCGAGCGGCAGGAGGCCACACAGAGCGAAAAGTCTACACATCACCACCACGCTGGCTGAAAAACCCATGCGTTGCAGCCCCCACAGACACTAGCACCAGAGCTCCCTGTAGTAAATATTGCAGGAAATTTCACGACAAAGATGTGAATGCGTATACAAGGCGAACACACACGCGCGCACGCACTCTCCCTCTCTACCTAGACAAAGGAGGGGGGGGGGGGGGCAGATCCACCTTTCAATAGGGGGTGAATGCATACCGTCATAAGGAAACCCCTCGACAACGGCGGGAACTCCTGCATCTAAAGGAAACCGCCGCGCTACTATCTATGCCTGAAGGACTAATAGCAATCGAAGACGTGATAAAGTCGTCAACGATCAATGGAAAACCAAGAAAAGCCTCGATTAACCTCCAGAAGCCAACATTTCGGCAAGACTATCCGTCTCCGCCAAAAGGCAAGTCCAGTTATGTCGCGGCACTGACTTCGGCTTCACGCTTCCCACGTCAATAAAGATGAACAATGCACTAGTCGAAAAGACAGGCTTCACTCAGGGGTTTCTCATCTTATCACGCGCGGCCTATGAATTCAAGTCTCCTCGTCCCGCTGAGCGAACTTGTTAGTAGTTCGACATTTACCTTGAAGTTATGCTGTAGTATTTCTAATCTTGAAACCCCCTGCGAAGCTCTAAAGCCATTGTTGCTTTATAAGGCTAAAGCTTGTTACATGTCGTTCATGCGATCCCTTCATGCCGTTTGAAAAAAAAACGGCACTGACGTTCATTCTTGTTCTTCTTGGCGATGATACCGCGAAACACTTTGAGGGGACCGAGATAAGCAAGGTCGAGTCAACGCGTGCTGAAACTTGACTCTCGCGGCACTGGCTATCGGAAGATACGATCACGCAGTCTGTATTGTACGCACTGCCTTTTATTCTTGCACTAAAGCTATACTCGATTTCGTGAGCACGACGCGCAGTACACATAACTTGACACTACGTCACGACGCGGAACTCTGGGATACGATCTCAGCCCGCGCCGCCATCACCGAGCACATGACCGCGGACGACACCGAATCAAGCTGCACGGTTCTCGCATTCGCGTGAATGTCTTTGGCGGTTTGTGCAATATTTGACCACCACGCGAGAAGAAATCAAATAAAAAAATGCCCAGACACGGGAACGTACTGTTCGCTAAAGGTGATCGTGCACAAACCCGCGCCACCTCTCGACAGAGCTGTCCGAGGAGCGGGACTTACGCGCACATCTAACAGGAAGGGCATTTACACGCGCTACCCGCACAGCCGCAACGCACGTGCCGGGATCTTTGCCGCACGCAAGCGGGGGAGAAACAAGCCAATTGGCGACGCTCTTTCACCCTCCCCAGCGTCGCCAATTGGCTTATTCGTCCCTTGTTTGCATGCGGTAGGGGTCCCGCCACGTGCGGAGCGGCAGTGCTGGAAGCGCGTGGAACGGCCCGAAGGCCCCCGACAAACGCTAGTTCGTGCGGGCGTCAGCGCCGAAGAGCGCCGCTGTATAGGCGACTCCTACGAAGTTGTTTCGCCCCTTACGTGCGACACCACGGACTCGGACACAGCATACACGGAGGATCCGAGCTCCTCAGTAAACAATGCTTCGCTGCAGGCTGCATAATGTCCTTGAACAATTATTCTTCGTCATAAACGCAAGGCAGACGGTTTAAACGCGCGCACTACACGTCAAACAATCCGTCAAACGAGCGTAAATACAGCGCGGTCACTAAGACATGTGTGCTCCGTGGGCTTGTTGATGACGGACTAAAAGACAGGAACTGGCGTCACTTGCAAGCTATTCATTGCATGCGCTTAAGGTGGGCCGCATCCCTGCAGAAGATCGGGTTTCTAAAGAAACCACCGCACGTGTAAAGCTCATGACGATAGGAGAGAGCGTAATAAGCGTAGACAGGAGCGGAAGGAAGTAGAACAGAGGAACACGTCTTCCGAGCTGTTTCCCTTTCGCCCGTCTTTCCCCAGAGCTGACGGAGGCTCCCCATCACTCACCCGTCGTGGCCGACGATGTACCGGGTGAGCGCGCGCCTCTCGTCCTCCGGGAAATCACCGTACAGCAGGAACGTCTTTCCCGTGAAGAAAGCCGGCAGATCGGGCAGGTCCAGAGGAATGGCCGACGCGTCGTCCGGCGCATCGCCGACGAGCCGATCGGCTTCGGAACCGAGGCGCACGTGCTTCGATGCTTCCGTCTCCTGCTCCCTCTGACGCTGCAGCACTCTGCACGAAACGTGAAAAACGAGGCACGCGCTTCTCCGTCTCTGCTTCATGGACTTAGAGAGCAATCGTATCAGAACACTCTTCGCTCGTATGAACGCGGATTCGAAGCTGATCAAGTGTAGATATGCTGGCAACCTAACAAGGCACTTGGAATACAGCGCAAAGGGCACATACAAGGCCTTTCTATGGCGAAATGCATGTGAACCGTGAACAGCCAGAGAGAAAATATGCGGCCCGTTATCAACATTGGAGCCACATAGCGCAAAAGATAAGTCTCGGAAACAGAGGGCTCAACAGGAGCGCTCGACACAGAGGCCCACAAGGCGCAGCAGCTTCCAAAGAGAGATGAGGGGGAAAATGTTGCAAATTCTTAACGGTGAAATTGTCCTCAACGATAGGATTCGAATCTACCGAAGCTGAAAGAAACTACACACGTGGGAGAACAAAGTTCAAGTCTTTTTTTTTTACTTTTATCCTCTAGGCACTAATCGCAACGAATTCATTTCACATTCACTCAGCCTACGTAACACCGCTCCGCGATTCCGTACGAAATCTTCTTTCCGTTTCTTTAAACCAACTGCGACGCATTCCCTTGCGGTACGTATAAATGTGTGCTTCTTTCTTTTGTTTATAAAGTATGTTACAAACAAGAACGCTTCTGCGTAAGTGATTTCTTTAAGTGCTTAGCTCTTTAGAGGCCCACTTGTCGTCCATTCAATAGGGAGTTTTACTTGTACAAATATTTCTTTTCGTTAACGTGTTACCGGATACCGGTTTGCGTTTACCGTCTTACCGGAACGCATATCTTTCAACGTTCTAGCTCCTCATACGTAAACGTTTACGTACGTACGTGAACGCGTACACCTTTACGTTTTTGCGAACCATAAATGACGATGCTAATGCTAACTGCATATAAACTGCATTTGGCTTAGATAGGATTGAATCACTGTTGTGGCAAAACCACGAGATGTTATTTTATCGCCCACAGATTTCTCGTATGCGCAAAAGGGTGAAAAATACAAGGCTACTGCAACGATGATATCGATATCTTGTGACACTTCGTGCAACTTCAGTCATGGGCACATTGGATAACGCGTAATGTTTTTGAGGTGAAAAATGATTAAAAAGGTAACTCATTTGTAATAACGCCACTGCGCGATTTCTGCATCAGACTTACAATGCACGATGTATCTGTAATAACAATGTTGTGATTACTTGGTACAATATTGCCCAGCTAGATGGCGCCACCTATCCAGCTTGTCGGGAGTTTGCACGTTTACGGCGTCTATGTCCTAGGCCATTCTAGCTTTGGTGATCCGGCTGAAACAATGTAATGGCTATTGGCGCTCACAACTCGGCTAATTTCAACTTGACGGCTCGAGTCCCCGCAATACGGATACCACGAGTTTCTACGAACGAAGGTAGATTAGCTAGATATGGCGAAAACCGTAAAGCCTATATGACGGGAACGCAAACGTTTAAACCCCATCCGGCGGGAAACGTAAAGGTTTACGTTACGTAAAGACCCGCGCATGCGCAGATTCTATCCGGTAACACGGTAACGTAAAGAAGTGTACGTACAAGCTAAAAGCCCCTAATGATCTAGTGTAGGTTGCTCACGCTCACAATCAAGTGCCCAATACAGGTCTCACACAAGGTCAGCGATGCTCCACATCGTGTTAACATAAACGGAAAAGGTCTAAAAAATATCATCATTAATTCAAATAACACACAAGTACTCACAGTAAATATCATATAAGATAGCCAAAAAACGTGAGGCTAACACCCGCGCCGCCCATAGAGCAGTGTTGCCACGGCTGCTGATTTACCAGTGCATCTACCGAGTTTCATTTTTTTTTTTTTGCTGGTTGAGTAATAACGGTGTCCGGATCTGCTTACTTTATGTGTTCTCTACAGAAACGATTCCAAAAGCCACCCCTTTTTCAGCGTCGAGATGATTCGACGTGGTGCCGTACGTGGTGACGGAGAAAACTTACTCAAATGTCACCACACAATAATTACTGGGAATGCTTCGGCGAGGGCATTTTCTAAACGAACAGCTTGGAAAACAAAGTAGCAGGGGGAAAAAACTTTTTTTTTCATCACGTGTCCTGCAGAGTCGTTTCTCCCTTTCCCATTGTACGCCATAGAGCTTAATTCAAGGCGTGATTATCCCGCGTAATGCGCTACCTTCGCTGGGATGTGTAGGGGTGAATAAGCACACAACAAACTTAGAGCGATAAGCCAGTGTTTGCCGGCCAGTGTATGCAGGTGCGAAGTGTTCTCGCGAAAAATCCACTCACATATTTTTGGAATCCCATTGACATTTCGCAAGAATTTCACTGCACATGTGTGATCAAAAAAAGTTTGCAAAGGAGCAGCCTTCGACTACAGCTAGACTACCTGAACAAAGTACCTTTAGGGACGAAGCTCCTCTTAGTCTAACCTTGTCACTGGTCACGCGTAACCGAGAGAAAAAGAGACTAGAAAGAAAATAAGGCAAAACAAATGGATTGCCATTTCTCGTCTCATTATCCTAGATGGCGTTACTCTGCCGCTACTCTACGATTGGCTGCTGCGCACGCTTTGTCTGTGTGCGCGGAGAACGAGTACCTCACTCAGTCTCCTGATAGTCGCCGTACGTGGCGGATCGTTGATGGGGCATGGACGAAGCCGAAAATAGAGGAGACGCTGACGAAGCAGAGTGACGGGCGCGTTGAAGACGCTTGCGTTCGGCTTCCTTGGCTCGCGTCTCGTCGGTGTTACTCGCGCATCGTATGCATTATCGAACGCGATCGGACACACGAACGGATGGACAGGCGGACGCTTCACCCCATCATTCACTCTGTGGATATGCTGTGATTCATGCTACACTCCCCTGCTTTTCCTCTCTGCCACTTCTCTCTTTTTCTGAATATACAGAATTAACAGAGCGTACTCTCAGTTGTGACATTCGGGCAGGGCTTTTTGAAAAGCCTTCATGGCTCGGAGGCACTCTCCTTCGAATGTGAGGCGTCTCTCATAACCATATGGTGGTTTTGGGACGTTAAACCACACATATCATTCAATCAATCCCTGTATTGTGAACGGGTGATAGCACGTGGAGGAAGAAAATCATTATATGCATTAAAGTCAATGGGAAAACATGGCAAGACGGTGGAAACATTGGCTACAAGGTATATACTTTCAAGGGAAATAGCGCCCGAAAACGTAAGACGAAGAATCGGCGATGGATATATTATAATAAAATCTATATTGGCCGTTCACGTTCCTAAACAACGGCATGATTAAGAGAGAGACCCTAGTCAAGGGCTCCAAAATTTTCGACCATGTGCAACGGGGCTCCTTTAACGTGCAATAAATAGAAGCACCGGCGATGTAAAGGTGGTGGATGAACATGTGCGGAACCGCCTCGTCCCCGCTTAATTTTTATTGAGTACTTCCAAGATCCTCTTCCAGGAAGAGGATCTTATTTCCTTCATAACCATCATAGACATACGCCTTAGTTCAAAACATAAGTAGGCACCGTCGACATACAGAGCCGCTCATAATTTAACCAGCCCCCGCCGCGCTGTGCTCGGAAGCAACTTCGTCGCTTCCGTGCCAGTTGTCACGTGATCATAAAGTGCGGTGGCGAGCTTTGGGCTGGGCTGAGCCTACTGGCCGCGAAGTCGCTACAAGCGCATGTCGATGGCGACTACTGCTGTTTGCACACGGAATAGGTCTGTACCACTATGACGGGTGCTATAAAACAGTATATTTTACGTAATTAGTGCTAATTCGTTCTTAATCACACATAACCGCGTACAGTAACAAGAAATTCTACAGACAACAGTGTGCGGCAGACCGGCCGTGGGTGTTTTTGGCGAGTGATCGAGGTGGTGTATCCCTAACCTTTGGATCTCCTCCTCGGTATCGTAGTCTTCATCATTCGCATCTACATCCGTGTCGGCGTCGAAATCGCTGTCGCCTTCTTCCTGGTCAACCTGCCTTGAAGAGACCGCTGCGTTTCCAGGTTTGTCACCTGAAAGAGAAAAAAAAACCGCATGCGCGCGCCTGAAGACGCGACCATCGCATCACCTGAAATTATTATTATTATTATTATTATTATTATTATTATTATTATTATTATTATTATTATTATTATTATTATTATTATTATTATTATTATTATTATTATTATTATTATTATTATTATTATTATTATTGTTATTATTGTTATAGGGGTTTAACGTCCCAAAACAATGATATGAAAATGAGAGACGCCAGTAGTGGAGAGCAGCGAAAATTTCGACTACCAGGCACTTTTTTTAACGTACAGCTGAATCCAAGCACGAAGGCCCCAAGCATGTTCGCCTCCATGAAAAATGCGACCGCCACGGCCCGAATTCAGTCCCGCGAACTGGAGGCCAGCACTCAAGCTTTCATATACGATTTCATAGAGTTTTTCTTTTTTTTTTTTCCTGAATATAACCGCAGCCGCCGCAATCGATACCTATCATACAACCTCACGAGCCCGACTTAGCACCGCCATATCGCATAATCAACAGAAAGGCACCGCTATTACATCGCTTCGGTGAAACGGAACTGTTTGTGCAGCACTTGAAACGATGCGTTTATGATTGAGCTGTCAAAGCGACAGTAGAGCCAGGAACTAGGATGCCTGTAGTGAATACACGGCACTGTTTTGCGTGCTCGCCTTAATAAAAGCGAGACTTCTGGAAGACCGTCAGCATATGTAAGAACAGGCAAATACAGAACTAAGTTGCGGCTTGAATAAAATAGAGAGGACATTCTGGCTCGTCGTAGCCCTATGCCTTTGCATTAGCGGCCTGCTTAGGAGCTCTGAAAGGAAGACATGTTGAAAAAGAAATAAATGAACAAAACGAAGGTACTGGCTGTGCTAGCAAGAGCGACGTACCAACGCGGATGCCCACACCAAATTAACCTCGTGAGAATTTCTACGGTCCAACGGAGTATATCTCAAGGACTGAATAGCGCACCATATAGGGAGGCTCCGTGCGTTAGGTTCGCCGTCAATATATGTTCTATCACCGATACTTTCTTTTTTTTTTCGTCCTCAGCGTATGGCGAGAAATTAAAACGCAATAAAAAAAGATCTTCCTTGAAAGTTTCAATTGGCACACGCCTTTCATGTCGTCACGAACACAACTACGGACGGGAGCACGAACTATACGGCGCTTTTTCTGTTGTTGTTGTTGTTGTTGTTGTTGTTGTTGTTGTTGTTGTTGTTGTTGTTGTTGTTGTTGTTGTTGTTCCAGAAAAAAAAACTTCCAGGAGGGAGAACGGGAATTAGTGGCGTGTTCAAACAGCATTAATGGCAATAAAAAGCCGGTACTTTTCAGAAACATGAACACTCAGAAACTGGGAGAGAAGAAACGGGATGGATGACGTAAAAAAAATCACAGCATATTGTCGCGTGCGTCCTGCGAGAAAGACGAAGGCTACAGTGCATACGCACATCTGCACGCTTTTATGCAGAACGCAACCACGAGAAAGAAGAGGAACTCTCTGGCGCGCGGTAAATAGAGAGACCGACCCGCTGCTGCTTTCTCAGCTTCTTCAAATACCTCTGTCTTCACGTCGCCACACTGTTGGAGGTGCTGGGGCCTGCAACCTGATGCAGGAAAGCTTTGTTCGGGACCGTACAGTCAGTCTGGAGCCTCAACATCTTGTTACGACTTGAGTACGCCGATTCAGCCGGCGCTACTAGGCCTAAGTCCAGAACTCTTGGCTGCATCTCCTTTTACCAACATGGCGGCCCCTTGAACGTTTGCGAATCTTCCTCCGGCCCAGACGACTCTTCCTTACCAGGTAACTTTCGAGCCTTCTCGTATTCCCGAAGTCTTCCGTGGAGAACCGTATGGAGATGTCGAGGACTGGCTCGACCAGTTCGAGCGGACCACTGTGCTGAATCGCTGGAGCGCGCAAGAGAAACTTGGCCGTGCCTACTTCGCAATAGAAAATAGCGCTCGCACATGGTACGAGAACAGGGAGCATACTTTCCAAGCGGACAATTTCCGTCAAAATCTTCTCGAAACGTTCCTGAGTGCGGACCGACGGGATCTCGCAAAACAGATGATTGAAGCCGCGTGCAAAAGCCGAACGAAAGCGTTGCCATGGTCGCTGTGGATATGGCCCGTCTATTTCGCCGCGCTGGCCCTGACATGCCCGAGGCGAGGAAAGTTTGTCACCAGATGCGCAGAGTTAAGGAACCGCTTTTCGCCGGCCTTGCACGAAATCCGCCAACAACAGTGGATGAATTTATCAAAAAGGCGACTGTCACCGAGCGGGCGCTCCGGCAACGATGCCGCCACTTCGACCGCCTGCCCTACCAAACGCCTGTTGGTGCCACCGCTCAAAACACTACTGTTTCCAAAAGCTCTCTACGGCAAATGATTAGACAAATCCTGCGGGAAGAGCTGCGGGCCCTCGGCCTTCCGTCTACGGAGCCTCCAGTTACTTCTGTTGCAGAAATCGTGCGCCACGAACTACGGCAAGCCTTTCCATTACCGGCACCACCACCTGAACCACGTCCACTGACCTATACTGATGCCGTCCGCCGTCATCTGCCTGCCCCAGAATAAGCCCTTTTTCAGCCACGGCCCGTGACCTTGCCTTGGTGGCAGCGGGAACCTGTGCGGCGACCACCAGTACGCCGGACCGACTTGTGGCGCACTGCCGACCGTCGACCCCTTTGTTTCCAGTGCGGCGAACCAGGCCACATCTCGCGCTACTGCCGTCATCGAGAAGGCCGGTTTGGAAACTTTTCTCGTCCCGCTCAATTTTATTTTGAAGACCCTCGTGACCATGGTGCTGATCACCTGCCGACCAACCAGGCGTCTTCACCAAGTCGTCGCTGGCGGTCTCCCTCACCTGTACGAGGTCACACTTCCCCGAATAGCCAAAGTTACGCTGACGCCGTCAGAAACCGCTCCCCAAGCCCGTGCCAGGGAAACTAACTGCCGCGACCTCCGGGGGCAAGGTTGCCAATTGCCGCGACGCCAAAAAGACTCCCTTGCCTCTACACAAAGACATGACGACGGTGATGACGAAGACGACGACAACCACGAGTACTAATGCCGATGAATGTGTACGTTCCGACCTCAGCGTTAACATAGACGGACACTACGTAACAGCACTGGTTGACACCGGTGCTGACTTCTCTATTATGCGACAAGAGCTCGCCGACCACCTTAAGAAGGTCAAGACGCCGTGGAGTGGGCCGAGCATAAGGAGTGCTGGTGGACAGCTAATGACGCCAACCGGTAAATGCACCGCTCGGCTCGTAATCGGTGATTCGCGCTTTGTCGCCACTTTTGTCATTTTACCGGACTGTTGTAAAGAGCTGATTTCGGGTATGGATTTTCTGCGAAAGTACGGTGCTGTCATCAACATTCCAGAACGTATCGTCACCTTTTCCACCCATCCTTACGTCGACGCCACCACTGAAGAACAACTGCAACGTTTGCGTGTAGCCGATTATGTGATGCTCGTGCCGAGATCTTGCTGCCTTGCATCGGTGTTATGTGAACGGCCATGCCGTAACGAGGTGATAGCGGAGCGAATAGACACGCTATTGCTTACGCAAGGTGTTTCAATAGCGAGAGGCGTTCTGGCACTATAACTGATGGGCAGGCAGAAGTGCTACTCACCAACTTCAGCAACGAGCGCCGTCACATACAAAAGGGCACCACAATTGCCTACTACGACGCTGTGGACCAAGCCAGAGATTGCTCCGCTTTGCAGCCGGACGACGCGACCGTCCCAGCCTCGACACCTTTGTCGGTCAACATTTGCTCTACCTTTTCACCCTCGGATAAACAGCGCCTACTAGAGCTGATACACCAGTTCAAAAATTGTTTTTCGTGCACGTCGAAAGTCAAGCAAACACCACTGACGCGGCACCGAATCATCACTGAAGAAAATACGAGACCGATTCGACGAAACCAATACCGTGTGGCTCCGAAAGAACGCGAGGAGATCCAAAAGCAAGTTCAGAAGATGCTCCAAAATGACGTAATACAGCCTTCCAAAAGTCCCTGGGCATGTCCCGTGGTATTGGTTAAAAAGAAAGACGAAAGCTTGATTGATTGATTGATTGATTGATTGATTGATTGATTGATTGATTGATTGATTGATTGATTGATTGATTGATTGATTGATTGATTGATTGATTGATTGATTGATTGATTGATTGATATGTGAGGTTCAACGTCCCAAAACCACTATATGTTTATGAGAGACGCCGTAGTGGAGGGCTCCGGAAATTTACACCACCTGGGGTTCTTTAACGTGCACCCAAATCTGAGCACACGGGCCTACAACATTTCCACCTCCATCGAAAATGCAGCCGCCGCAGCCGGGATTCCAACCCGCGCCCTGCGGGTCAGCAGCCGAGTACCTTAGCCACTAGACCACCGCGGCGGGGCAGAAAGACGAAAGACGAAAGCTTGCGTTTCTGTATAGATTACCACGAAGAAAGACGTTGACCCAGTGCCACGCATAGACGACGCCCCACCGCGGTGGTCTAGTGGCTAAGGTACTCGGCTGCTGACCCGCACGTCGCGGGTTCGGATCCCGGCTGCGGCGGCTGCATTTCCGATGGAGGCGGAAATGTTGTAGGCCCGTGTGCTCAGATTTGGGTGCACGTTAAAGAACCCCAGGTGGTCTAAATTTCCGGAGCCCTCCACTACGGCGTCTCTCATAATCATATAGTGGTTTTGGGACGTTAAACCCCACATATCAATCAATCATAGACGACTCTCTTGATCGGCTGCGGCATGCACGCTATTTTTCATCGATGGACCTGCGAAGTGGCTATTGGCAAATAGAGGTCGACGATCGAGAGAGACCGTGAGAAAACTACCCTTCGTTACGCCCGACGGTTTTTATGAATTTAATGTGCTTTCATTCGGGTTATGCTCAGCGCCAGCCACTTTTCAGCGTTTAATGGGCACAGTGATATCATGACTGAAGTGGCAGACATGCTTGGTTTATCTA